CTGCTCACAGCGCACACTGCACACGCTGCTCACTGAGCGCACTGCTCACGGTGCTCACACTGCACACACTGCTCACACTGCACGCACTGCTCATGCTGCTCACACTGCTCACACTGCAGGCACTGCTCACAGCGCACACTGCACACGCTGCTCACGCTGCCCACTGAACGCACTGCTCACGGTGCTCGCTCACACTGCACGCACTGCTCATGCTGCTCACACTGCTCACACTGCAGGCACTGCTCACAGTGCACACTGCACACGCTGCTCACTGAGCGCACTGCTCACGGTGCTCATGCTGCACACACTGCTCACTGCACACAGTGCACGCACTGCTCACACCGCTCGCACTGCTCACGCTGCTCGCTGAACACTGTTCATGGTGCTCACGCTGCACACGCTGCTCACTGCACACGGTGCACACTGCTCACGCTGCTCGCACTGCTCACACTGCTCTGCTCACTGCATACACGGCTCACACTGCACGCACTGCTCGCGCTGCTCACACTGCTCACAGTGCACACTGCACACGCTGCTCACTGAGCGCACTGCTCACGGTGCTCACACTGCACACACTGCTCACACTGCACGCACTGCTCATGCTGCTCACACTGCTCACACTGCAGGCACTGCTCACAGCGCACACTGCACACGCTGCTCACGCTGCCCACTGAACGCACTGCTCACGGTGCTCGCTCACACTGCACGCACTGCTCATGCTGCTCACACTGCTCACACTGCAGCCACTGCTCACAGCGCACACTGCACACGCTGCTCACTGAGCGCACTGCTCACGGTGCTCACACTGCACACACTGCTCACACTGCACGCACTGCTCATGCTGCTCACACTGCTCACACTGCAGGCACTGCTCACAGCGCACACTGCACACGCTGCTCACGCTGCCCACTGAACGCACTGCTCACGGTGCTCGCTCACACTGCACGCACTGCTCATGCTGCTCACACTGCTCACACTGCAGGCACTGCTCACAGCGCACACTGCACACGCTGCTCACTGAGCGCACTGCTCACGGTGCTCATGCTGCACACACTGCTCACTGCACACAGTGCACGCACTGCTCACACCGCTCGCACTGCTCACGCTGCTCGCTGAACACTGTTCATGGTGCTCACGCTGCACACGCTGCTCACTGCACACGGTGCACACTGCTCACGCTGCTCGCACTGCTCACACTGCTCTGCTCACTGCATACACGGCTCACACTGCACGCACTGCTCGCGCTGCTCACACTGCTCACAGTGCACACTGCACACGCTGCTCACTGAGCGCACTGCTCACGGTGCTCATGCTGCACACACTGCTCACTGCACACAGTACACGCACTGCTCACGCTGCTCACTGAACACACTGCTCAGGGTGCTCACGCTGCACACGCTGCTCACTGCACACGGTGCACACTGCTCACGCTGCCCGCACTGCACACCCTGCTCTGCTCACTGCATACACGGCTCACACTGCGCGCACTGCTCGTGATGCTCGCACTGCTCACGCTGCTGACACTGCACGCACGCTGACACACAGCGCACCCGCCCTCCCCAAACGCCCCCCGCAGCCCGGAGCCCCCGGAGCCCCCGGTGCCCACTCACCCGGCCCCGGTCTCGCGTCCCGGCGCCGCTCGGTG